TATCGGTCGCGCTTGATCGATCTCCCTCGATCGATCTCACAATCGATCTCACTCGATCTATCTCACAATTGATCTGACTATCGAGCTCACAATCGATCTCACAATCGATCTCACAATCGATATCACATTCGGTCTCACTATCGATCTCACTATCGATATCACAACCGCTATCACAATCAACGTCATCATCATCATCAACAGCAACATCAACATCAACATCATCATCACCAACATAATCATAATCGGGACACCGTCCTCATCATCAACGCCAACATCATCATCATCATCATCATCATCATCATCATCATCACGGTCATCAACATCATCGGGACACAGTCATCGTCATCATCACCATCATCACAATCATCAATATCATCAACATCATCATCATCAGCAGCATCGGGACACAGTCATCGTCATCATCATCATCAGCAGCATCATCATCGGGACACCATCATGATCACCATCGTTATCATCATCATCATCATCACCATCATCATCGGGACACCATCATCATCCCATCCTCATCATCGACATCATCATCATCAGCAGCATCATCAACATCATCATCAGCATCATCATCGTCATCGGGGCACCATCATCATCATTACCAACATCAGCATCAGCATCATCATCATCACCATGGGGACGCCATCATCATGAACATCATCATCACCATCAGAATAATCATCATCATCGGGACGCCATAATCATCATCCACCTCATCATCATCAACATCATCATCATCGGGACACAATCATAATCATCATCATCGTTATCAACATCATCATACTCATCATCATCGGGACACCATCATCGTCATCATCATGATCATCAACATAATCATCATGATCATCATCATCCTCATCATCGGACCACCATCAGCATCATCATCATCATCGTCATCGTCATCATCATCATCATCGACATCATCATCATCATCATCATCATCATCATCATCGTCATCATCATCGGGACACCATCATCATCATATCATCATCATCATCACCATCATCATCATCGTCTTCATCATCATCATCATCATCAGCAACACCATCATCATCATCCTCATCATCATCAGCAGCATCATCATCATCAACATCAGCATCAGCATCATCATCATCATCATCATCATCATCTCATCATCATGATCATCATCATCCTCATCATCATCAACATCATCATCATTATCATCATCGTCTTCATCATCATCATCATCAGCAACACCATCATCATCATCGTCATCATCATCAGCAGCATCATCATCATCAACATCAGCATCACCATCATCATCATCATAATCATAATCAGAATCATCATCATCATCATCATCATCATCATCATCATCATCATCATCATCATCATCATCTCATCATCTCATCATCTCATCATCATTATCATCATCATCACCATCATCATCGCGGGACACCGCGGGACACCGGCGGGACACCGCGGGGCACCGCGGGACACCGCGGACCGCGGGACACCGCGGGACACCGGCGGGACACCGCGGGGCCCCGGCCGCCCGGAAGGGAGTCATTTGGTCCTGCCGCGCCTCAGCCACACGGGACACCAGCGGGACACCGGCGGGACACCGCGGGCCTCCGGCCGCCCGGAAGGGAGACAGTTGGTCCGGCCGCGCCTCAGCCACAGGAGACTTTCTCTCGCCCGCCCACGCAGCTTCGCCTCGCCCGCACGGCACGCACGAACACGAAACCGAAATCGATTTCCCGGTAGGGGGGCTCTCCGTTCCACTTCGATCTCACCCCCCAACCTCCGATAAACTTTCCAGCCGCCCTGGGGCAGGCGCCCCCGACGGCGAAAAAGTTTATTGTATACCGTTCTTTGCCCGTTAGCACATACCCCACTATCGAGGCATCGACCTCCAGGACACAGACCGGCGGCAGAACCGTTGGTCCTGTGCGCTCGCTCCACGCTCGCACGCCCGAGGTTGAAGGGGCCCCAGGACACACAAATAAATACACACAAATAAAAAGATGCCCCATATTTTCCCATACTTTCTGGGTTTCTGTCTTCCCCCCCACTGCCCATAGTTTTCCATATTTTCTGGGGAACCGAGGATTAATTGTGTCTGTGTTTTTTCCTCTCCTGACGGTGGTCCTGTGCGCTCGCTCCACGCTCGCACGCCCGAGGTGCTCACCTCCAGGGCAGAGCCCGGTGGGCATGCCAGGGGTCTTGCGTCCGACTGCCCCGGAAAAGGCACGGCCCCACCGCACCACCGCCGTGCCTCCACGAGGCATTTTGGGGAAAAGCATGCCACAGGGCAGTTTGTAATACGTTTTTATTGTTTGTAGTATTATCATGACTATTATTATTAGTGTTATTTTGTTTAAAACACGGATGTTTAATGCATGATCAATCTATGAATAAATGTATGTATGAACTCGTCGTTGTTTTTGATACTAAACCCCTGCATTTGTAATACATGATCCGCACGCCGAGCATGTATTACAGACGGCACTGTAGGCTGCCCACCCCTTTCGATAAACAGGCGTTGGCGACCGTGTGCCAGCTCACCTCGGGCCTGCTCGGGTGGCCGCGTGCCGGTCACAGCCGCGGCACGCGCGGCAAACCCAATCGAATATGAATCGCCTATGCTCCGGTCATCTCCTTCCTGCTCCCCCCTCCCTCCGCCCACGCGCCCACGCACTTGCTGATGACACTTGGCGCGATGGCTCCGGCAAGCACGCCTCACTGCACAGCCACTGTGTTTTCATGAAGCGCTCTGGGAGAAGCGTGCTAGGCTGCCCACCCCTGTCGGGGATCAGACGTTGGCATCCGTGTGCCAGCTCGCCTCTGGCCTGCTTAAGTGGCCCCGAGTCGGACACAGCTGTTGCAGGCGCGTCAAACCCACATTATCCAACCACCTCTGCTCACGTCCCTCCCCTTCTTCCCTTCCTTTCCTCCTCCCACGCACTTGCTGATGACACTTCGCGCGATGGCTGCGGCCAACACGCCTCACTGCACCGCCACTGCGCCTCCACCAGGCACTCTGGGGAGGTTCGTGCTACGCTGCCCACCCCTGTCGATGAACAGGCGCTGGCATCCGTGTACCAGCTCACATCTGGCCTGCTTAGGTGGCACCGAGTCGGTCACAGCCGTTGCAGACGCGGCAAACCCACATCAACCAATCACCTTCGCTCGCGTCCTCCCCCCTCGTCTCCCCCCCTCCTCTTCTCGGGTCGGGCGAAAGGGGGGGATAGCAAAGGGGGGGTTTGAGAATCAGCTCACGTAGCTGATTTTCCCGGCGCCTCCCGGCGCTGGAAGCGGCTATGTATCGAGGCATGGGCCCCTCGGTGAGGCCGAAACCAGCTGCATGCAGCAAATTTCGTACCCCCCCCTTTCCAAATCCCCCCCTTTCGCCCGGCCCGATCTTCCAACGCACTTGCTGATGACACTTCGCGCGATGGCCGCGGCCAGTACGCCTCACTGCATCGCCACCGTGCCTCCGAGGGGCACTGGGGGAGGCGCGAGCTGGGCTGCCCACCCATGTCGATTGAGCAGGCTTTGGCATCCGTGTGCTTACAGTCGGGGCGTTGACCTAAGGAACCCTAAATAAGGAACGAGGCCCCTCTTTTCCACAAGTGAAGCTTCGATTTCCCATCGAGAACATAAGGAAAACCTGAGGCAAGCTGTGAAACACGTAAGGAACACGGAGCCCCTCCCCAACGAGAAGGGTTCCTTCTTCAGGGCCCCGACTGTAGGTTTCCCAGCGTCGGTCGCAGCCGCTGCAGGCGAGGCAACCACAACCGAACAATGCGCGAGGCCACCAGAGCAAGCGCAACAAGGGCGTCAGAAAAAGCCAAGGAGCGCCGCACTCCGGAGGATTCTGAAGGGGCCCCAGGACACACAAATAAATACACACAAATAAAGAATCCCCCATAGTTTCCTATATTTTCTGGGTTTCTGTCTTCCCCCCCACTGCCCATATTTTCCCATAGTTTCTGGGGAATCGAGGATTAATTGTGTCTGTGTGTTTCTTTTCCTCCTGAGATTCGCTCATCCAGGGCGCGCCGCACACCCGAGGATGCCTGAACCACGCGCGCGCCCGAACGCGAACGGAAGGCCTGGCCAAAAGGCAAACAAACACCACCACCGTCATCGCACCATTCCAAGATTCGTGTCATTTCGTTGCGTGCTGCATTGTGGCGCGATGGACTTTCCCCAGGCTGACGTCGAAGCGCTCCGTGTCCGCCGGGGCGGAAATTCTTGAGCGGCTGTTCCGATCCAGCGCCACCTATCTGCTCATAGCTCATAGCGCCTCCTGGGGCATTACTTGCCACGGGTGACTCGGCGGTGGACAAACCTCCCTTTAGTAAACCACCCTTTGCTGAAAACGGCCTTTGACCGAAACCGACGGACCTGGACCCGCAAAAACGACGGCCGCGACGCCCTCTCGCGAACCGAAAACGGCCGATTTCTTAATCGACGTGTCAGGGTAGGTCTATCCACCCCCGAGTGACAATCCCGCCTCCCCGTCCCCCCCCCCTCGCATGAGATGGGCGGCCTGGAATCGCCAGCCCGCATTGCTGGCAAGCTTTGCTTACCACTGGACCCAGCATCCCAACCAGCGGTCAGACACCGCTCGCGTCAGGCCATTATACTGTGTGGCCACTCTACTCCGCTGGGCAACCTTGCCCTCCGGGGTGGTGACATCAGGAAACTGATAACTGGGCCCCTCAAGGGGGCTAAGGTGCCCAAAAACAATATTTCTTCAAGTCCTCCGCTCCTCTTCCAGCTCCTCCTCCTCTTCTTCCTCTTCCTCTTCCTCCTCCACCTCCAACATCCGACTCTCCCCTCCCCCATAGTCCTTTCTTCCGCTCCAACAATTCTACCCTCCTCCCCTCCGTCCCGTCCTCCTCCGTCCCGTCCTCCTCCGCCCTCCTCCTCCTCCTCCTCCTCCACTTCGCCTTCACCTTCCCCTCCCCCTCCAGCATCATACCTTAACCCTCCTCCTCCCCCTCCCCTCCACTCCCCTCCTTCGAGATGTGGTCGTAGGCTGGCGAGATGGCAGAGGCCTTAAACTTCTTGATGCTTGCCTGCACAGCGCACGCCACCTCCTCCTCCTCCTCCTCCTTCTCCTCCTCCCTCCTCCTCCTCCTCCTCCTCCTCCTCCTCCTCCTCCTCCTCCTCCTCCTCCTCCTCACTCCTCCTCCTCCTCTTCCTCCTCCTCCTCCTCCTCCTCCGATTCCTAATCATCAATCTGCTGCTGCGTCTGATCACTCCCCAATAGCCACTTCGCACTTCTTGTCCTCATCCCAGTCCTCACGCGATGCTCCAACCAGGCGTCGCTGGCAGCCTGGGAACCACCTTCACCCACCCACGCCTCACGACTTGCTCCTTCTCCATCACCTCCCGCCGCCTTCCCTCTCCGCTACCTCCTCATCATCCAAAGTGGCTGCGGGCTCCCTGCGCCAACCTGGGAGCGACCATGTCCAGAGGAACAAGGCGTTTTCGTTCGCGCGGGCCCTCGTTGCGGAAGTGATGTGGCTTTTGAAGGTGGTTTCTTTCAAAGCAGAGCGGGCCCTCTTGGGGGAACAATAGGAGGTAGAGGGAGGGGACGACGCGCTACTCCACCAGCGAACGCGCACACTCTCCGCTGCGCAGAAGAGCGGCTGGATGATGTGCGCCCCCCAGCGTGGGGTGCGGGGGGGTCCCTTTCGGAGTCATACCAAATTGTATCCAAGTAGGTAGGGTCGACGGATCGCGACGTACCGCAGGTGCATTGCCATGCGTCGGCGATGCATCGGCAACGCATCGGCGATGCGTCGATGACTTCGGCTTGGAGAACATTGGGTCCCACATCGAGCCGCATCGCCGATGCATCGACGATGCGGAGCGATCCCTCGACCCCATCTGCGTGGACCCCATATGGAAGGCCCACACCGCTGGTGGAGAAAAGCAGCCAACCTCCAATGCTCGCGGCGGGGGCGCGCCAAGCGGCGTGGCAGCATGGGCATGCAGGTCTTTCCGCATAGAGCCGTAGTGCTACATGGACAGTCGTAGCGCTGCATGGGTCGCGGAAGGACATACCAATACTATGAGTCCTCCATGGAGGTGTGCGTCCGACCGGGTCATATAGCACAACAATGGTACGACACATCGTCAGCCCAACGGCATGACCAACAAACGCCCCCCCACCGAGCATGTTCCGCAAACAGTGCTTGCACTTTGGGTCTTATTTCTGCTCCAAGGGACTGGGCCTGCCCGTCGGTTTGGCGGCCATGTGGTCGCCGTCGCCGCCCCGTCGCCGCCCGCTTTCTGAGCCCCGTCGCTCGAGGACTGCCCGTCGGTCTGGCGTGTATGTGGTCGCCGTCGCCGCCACGTCGCCATGTGGAAAAGGCGATACTGTGCATTGCTTCGAGTGGACTTGCGCTGCGTTGAATCGATGTGCATTGCTTTCGTTGGCTGCGCTGCACGGACTTGCAATGACGTGCACTGCCTTGCCTTGCTGTGCATTGCTGTGCGCTCCATGGTTTTGCACTGCCTGGCCCTGTCTTGCACTGCTGCTCACTGCCTTATACTTCTTTGCATTGCGCTGCATTGCTTTGCGCCGCATACAGTCGGGGCCTTGACCTAAGGAACCCTAAATAAGGCACGAGGCCCCCTCCTTCCCATGAAATAAACTTTGATTTCCCATGGAAACCCTAGGGAAAACCCAAGGCGAACTGTAAAACAATCAAGGAACGCCGAGCCCCTCCCCAACGAAAAGGGTTCCTTCTTCAAGACCCCTACTGTAGCACTGTGGAATCGCACTGCTTTGCAATCGCACTGCATTGAGCTGTGTTGCACGGATTTTCGCCGTGCTGCATTGCTACGCCGTGTTTTGCACTGCCCTTCTCCGTTGCTCTGCACTGCCCGGCATTGCCTGGCACTGCTCGGCATCGCTTGGCATTGCTCGGCACTGCTTTACATCGCTCTGCATTGCGTCTTCATTGCTCCTTCACTGCTGTGCCCTGCTGTGCGTTGCTCTGCAGTGCACTGCACTGCCATGCATCGCTGTGCCCTGCTTTGCACTAACTTGCAACGCTTCTCATCACCTTGCATTGCCCACCGGTCGGAAGAAGTACGTCAAAGCATGAAGTAGGAAGGCGTTGGAAGTAGACTGGAATATGGAAATCCAAACTTGCCTACTTTCAACGACCGATGGGTCCTCTGCCTTACTCTGCATTGCACTTACATTGCTTCAGGGGTCTAAGGCACCAGACGGCGGTGCCGCTCCCGCGGCGACGTGGCCGCCGCCCACGTAGACAGAGGTGCCGCTACGTCGGCTATGCAGCCGCCGATGCCGGCCCGACGTCGCGTCGTCGCCGCACTACAGTCAACCCGACAAACAAGGATGCGCGATGAGGGCCCTCGACGCCCATTTCGAATCTTCTCGAGCGGGGCGCAGCCCACGGAAGTGGCGAAGGATGGGCCGAAGGGGCGAGGATACCAATGATACAAGGGTGCCTGTGGGAAGGTTGCCCATCCTTACTGTGCGGGTTGACTGTAGACAGCGGTGCCGCTCCAGCAGCTATGTAGCCGCCGTCGCCGTCCCGTCGCCGCCTTGTCGCCGCCCACACATATTGTACCACACAAATCGCACCCCCCAGGGATTCACCGTAAACCTTTTCGTGCTCCAATTGACATATGATTCTGCCCAATCGTCCACCCGAGGTGCGCGCGCGTCGTCACGTGCGCATGCCGATATCCTTGAAAAACCTGTGGGCTCGTAAGGGTCTCAAGTCGAAGCCACGAAGTTTTTTATGTAAAAATATGTATAATTATATACATATATATGTATGTGTATATATATATATATATGTATATAAACACCAAAAACTGCGCCGCAACAGCGGAGTTCAAACACAAAGAAAGCTGCGTCTGCGCTCGTGCGAATCTCTAAATTATATATATATATATATAATTACATATGTAGATATAATCACAGCATGCTACCAGGCGGGCCTCTCGCGTGCGCATGTCGAAATCGTTCGGACGCCCTTGCGCGCGCGTTGTCGCACAAACCAGGGAATTGCACACGCGCGCGGGGTCCCGCGCATGCCGGAATCCTTCACAAACCTCGGGTGGTGCAGGGGGTTGAATTGCGTTCGCAGTTGTGCGCGTTTTATATCTTATCGAAAATCATCGAACAAGTCCAACGTCTCCGCAATTCTGCCAAACTGGCATCTCGCGCCGCATACCGAGCTCATTCGAAAACATCAGCGCGCGTGCTAATGGGGGGGCACGACGCGTGTCAAATACCACCTCGCGGGCCACTCGCGCGCGTCGGCCTCGCGCGCATGTCGAACCCTTTTTCAAAAAACCTTCATCGCCGACGCGAGGACATCGTCATCGTCATCGGCGGGCGTGATCAACATCGGCGCCGTCTTGGCCTTGCCGTGGTCATCGACGCCATCGTCACCATCATCGTTACTCTCAGAATCGCGTCTGCCGATGTCGGCGTCCCCATGAAACCGCGCCCGCCCAAATCACCGACTCGCATTGTAGTGCCCGCCCAGCGGTCAGCGCCAGCGCGGCCGCGTCGGTCGGGCAAACTAGCTGGCCGCTGCGCTCGCGAACACGCGCGGGCTAGCGCGGCCGAACAGACGCACCAGCCAACGCCACGCACTCATCGCAATCGCCGCCGCATGGGCTTTGCAAACCAAGTTGCGGGTAGGTAGGCGGAACGTTGACAAGGGCATGGAATTCGTCAACTTGTTTGAAACAAATCGACTGGCAACTCAAAGATTGAAACGCACTGTTTGCACCACAGTCCCCCTCTCTAAAGAAGAACTCGGATCTACCGCCCCCCCCCCCCCGGACGCATCGATCCGGACTGGGAGAAGGCAATCTACAAGCGTTCTACACCATTCCCGCCAAACCGGTTTCAACCGACCCCCACCCCTGACAAAACCAGCATGCTCGCACACTCGCTATCGAAGGCCGTCAACTTGAAAGAAACCCTCGCGAAAAGCCAAACACTCCACGCCCGCGCGGAGTCGCGCGCGCATGCCGGAATCATTCGAACGATTCTGCGCTTGCCGGGGGGGGATGGCACGACCCGTGTCAAAGAATACCATGCGGGCCACTCGCGCGCGTCGGCAGCGCGCCAATCTCGAAATCCTGCCCAAACCTTCATCACCGACACGTGGACACCATCATAGTCATCGGCGTGGTCAACATCGGCGCCGCCATTGGCCTCGCTGTCATCATCGTCGCCATCGCCAGCATCGTAACTATCTCATCGGGTCAGCCGTTGTCGACGTCGCCATGGTACTGCGCCACCCCCAACCACCAGCCCGCGCTGACGTGGCCGCGCGTCAGTGCGAACTGCGAGACGCGCCGGGACTTCCTCGGCGGTCAGCGCCACCGCGGCCGCGTGGTTCGAGCAGAACTAACGAACCGCTCTGCGCGCAAGCCTGCGCGAGCCAGCGCGGCCGCAGCGATGCGCCAGCCAGCGCCCCGTCATTGTTGCGGGCGGGCGGATGCGATGATTTCGCAACCAGCAGATGCGACGACTCACTGCGGACCAAAACCAATTGCACCATATGAATAGCACCACGTTGATTATCCGCTCTGAAAAAAACATTTGGTCGACCACACCCCCCAGCCCCCGGGGTTATCCGCCCCCCCGGGGGATGTGCAAATTATTTGCGATGTTGCCCCATCGCGCATTCGAGATATGATTTCATGCCATCCCAGCAAAACAGGGGCCCGCCAGCCTCCCCCATCCCTGTCAAACAAAACTACGATCGCACTCGGTTATAACAAAACCAGCCGATCTGGCGCGTGAATCTCAACAAGTCAGCTCTTCTGACGGGGGGTGCCGGGTGGCTCTGCCAGGGAACAAGGGGAGGGGGGGGCGGGGATAACTACATTGAACTCGACCACCACGTTGTGTCCCGCGATCCACATCGGAACCGACTTCGCGCCTATGGACCTCCTCTCCTTGCCGCTCGCGCCGGCGATCACGCTTACCTTGGAAGCAGACGTCGCCACCACCGGCACCTTCCATGTTGCCGGGCAGCGCCATCGGCAGCCTGACCTAGCCGTCGCCGCTGCTTCCGCAATCCACCTGAGCGACGACAACTGCTTCGGCGCACCTCCACTTGGCGCTGCAGCAGTCTTCCCGCTCGTGGCCCCGATCGCCGCGCGATCCGCAGCGGCCCTCGAACTTCTCGCGCTGCGGCTCGCGCTTGGAGTCCTGCTGCTTGTTTGGGATTATCGATGTCATTGCCGTTGCTGCGTCCCTTGCCGCCGTTCTTACCGCCCTTGCCCCTCTCGAGAGCAGCGGGCCCCTCCTCGGGCCTCTCCCCCGGCGATCCTATCCCCGCGGGCTCTGGCCCCCCGCCGCCGGGTCGCCTGGCGCGCTGGACTTCCGCGCAGTCGACGATGACTCTGCGGGCGTCGGCGCAGCTGCGATGAGCGGCATCGCTCAAGCACAAGTGCGCCTGCACAGCCTCGGGCGCGAGGTGGGTCAGCGCACGAGCCTGGGCCCCCTCATCCAGCGGGTCGCGAACCTCAGCTCGCACCCCCGCGCGCGGCGCGCCCAGTCCCCGACGGCGCCAATCGCTGCGCCGACGGACGTGGCAGTCGCTGCCCTGAGGAACTGGCCGGGCGCATGCAGTCGCCGACCGGCGCGTGGCTTGCTCTCCTCTGTCAGCCGCCTCCACGCTTCAAGCCCGCGTTGGTTCTGCGCGTTTCTGATCCCAGTCGCGGCCTCGCTCTTCGCCGGCAGGCTCAGCGCGAACATCAGCTGCCGATCCATCTGCTCACTGCCGCCCCCCCTGCAACTCATCTCCCCCTGACAGATCGGCGCGCGCTGGGCCGACGCCCGCGCAAGGTGCTCGGTTGTTAACCGCCGGGGCTGGCTCCTGCCACGAAGTCCGCGACAACTTCCAGTCCGGCCATTCAGCTCGCGGGCCACTGAAGGCCGACCTCTTGTCCAACGCATGCGTGTCCACCAAAGATGGTGGCGGCGGTCCTGGCGAGTCAACTCGCCGCTCCTGCTGATCGGCCAGCCTGCGCTGCGTTTCGTTGGCCGCGTTCTCGGCCGCTCGGACTCTCGCCTGCACCTTCCGCATCCACTGGACCATCTCTGGCATCTGCGCCCCTGTCGCCATGGCCAGAGCTGTTCGGGGGTGTGTTCACGGGCCGGGTCGATCAAATAACTCCTCACCTCGAAGCAGCTCGCGGGTGTGAACCCGACCACAGCTCCTGCTACCACCCTTGCCCTTCATCACATCCGCAAACTAGTATGACATCTGGCGCGGTGGCCCTCTCCAAGGCCAGAAGGTCGTAGCCCAATGGCTGCGGGAAGGAGCAACGATCAGCAGCCCGCCACAAAGCTCATACTATAAGATGTCCGAACGCGCGCGAATCCATTCCGTGGCCAGCACGCACATGACAGGACAATGTTTAGGTGGCGCCGAAAGGAGGTTGATCTAAGTACAGACCGTTACGCGCCAAAGGTTTGAAACTGATATTAAAACCACCCGGTAGGTGAGGGGGGTGAACCGTGATACCCTGTCTTCCAGGCTAGGAGAGCAGCGAAGGCCGTCTAATTGAGAGCGCTCGGCGTACCGCTGTGGTCCCAGCGGCTACTGAAAACCAAGACTTCCGGGCTATAACCAACATGAGCTTGGGTGGGCCGCGAGCGTTCTTCCACGGGTGCGCCATCGAATTCCGCTGGCGGATGTCGACCACGAATTCCCACAAAGACCCCCCTGACCAACAAGGCTTGGGTGGGCCGCGAGCGTTCTCCCTCGGGTGCGCCATCGAATTTTGCTCGCAGAGGTCGGCCACGCCTTCCCACACAAATCCCCCTGCGCCGCCAAGAGGTATCCACATCACCACCATTCGGAGTCCTGCCCTCGGACCCTGGAGGGCGGAGGACACGAGCGCTGCTCCGCCGTCGGGAGCTGGGAAACACCCCCACCCTGCAATCCCCGATGCCCAGGACCATATCTCGGCTACACGCAGGAGCGACCCTAGCCAAGAATGACCCTTGGTGCGCGGCACAAGGGGGGCCCCTTGGGGGACACCACTGGGCGCGCAAGCCGCTGCCACTGCATCGCATCCGGCGATCGGGGAGGAGGAAATGGAGGAGGAGGAGGAAGGGGAAGAGGGGGAGGGGAGGAGGGGGAGGGGGAGGGGGAGGAGGAGAGGGATGAGGAGGAGGGCGGAGGCGAGGAGGGAGGGAGGAGAGGAGCAGGAGGAGGGAGGAGGTGGGAGGGGGAGGAGGAGGAGGGAGGCGGAAGGTCAGGAGGTGAAGGAGGGCGGAGGAGGAGGAGGAGGGAGGAGGGGGAGGATAGAGGTAGAGGAGGAGGGGGGCCCCAGTGGGCACGCACCACAGGTCATTGCGTCGAAACTCCTACGTGCAGCCGAGAGTCTGACGGCGCCCTCCACCCGCGCCCCCCTTCTCGGCAACATTGGGCAGCTATTGTATGACCTCCTCCCCCTCC